AAGAAAAGAGAAAGAAGGAAATGTGTTGTACCCACTGATCTTCAGGAAATATTTTATGCTTAGGCAACCAAGAGTGGCCAGGACTCAGCTGTCTCTGTAGATAATGGGAGGGGACGGGCAGCTCTGATGCAGATGGTTCTAGAAGGGCTGCCAAGGGCTCTGGAATGAGGGCGGCAGTTCTGGGTCGGAGGAAATGGTACAAAGAGGAAGAAAAATAGGCCACCCTGCATCTGTACCAAGCTTTATGCTTTCCAGGATACTCTCACTCATTGTTTCATCTTTCCTCCTTCCATGCACAGGGCTGATCCATCCTATGCCACAGTGGGTCCAGAGAGGAAAAGGGACTCGCCCAAGATTGCACAGCAAACTGGTGGCAGAGTCAACCAAGGTTTTCACTCCCAGGCAAGTGTCCTCCTAGCACCTGCCAAGAAACAGTCTCCGGGAAGGTGGTTTTGGAGGGAGGTCGATGTCCCCCTGTCCCTTCTCAGAGCACAGGTGACGCTCTTGTACAGGGTCCTGAGGACTCTGGCATTGAATGGGTTCTCACCAGGTTCTTGTGAACTTGGAGGTTTCTGGCCTCCAAGGGGTGGAGAGGGAGGAATGGAGGTTCAGGGGCTACAGGGCAGCAGCTCATCAGTACTCCCAGGTTTACAAGCTTCTCATCTGGCATCCAGCACCCTGGGCACCATCCTTCACCCTCTCACTACCATTTCTCCCTCTCATAAGCTCCCAGACCCTGGGGTCTCCCCTGTCTCGTAGAGAGACAACAAAGCTCGTGGGGGACAGGCTGGTTCCCTCTTCCTTTCCTCCCATCACAATAAGCAGGACAGAGTCCTGGTGACGGCTAACACTCACCTGTTACGGGTTGAATTGTGTCCCCCTAAAATACGTATGCTGAAGTCCTAACTCCCGGCAACACATAATGAGACCTTATTTGGAGATAGGGTCTCCCAGAGGTAACCAAGTTAAAATGAGGTCATCAGGCTGGGCCCTAATCCAATATGACTAGTGTCCTTACAAAAGGGGAAATTTAGAGACAGACATTCACAGGGAGAAAGCCATGTGAAGAACAGAGTTATGGGGCCACAAGCCAAGGAACTACCAGAAGCTAGGAGAGGGGCTTGGAAAAGATCTTCCCTCCCATACGGTCCCTCAGAAGGAAACCAACCCTGCTGACACCCTGATTGTGGACTTCTAACCTCCAGAACGGGGAGACAATAAACTCCTGCTGTTTAAGCCACCTAGGCTGTGATGCTCTATAACTCTTTACCCTGTAACTTCCTGATCCTCATTCCGTGTCCCCCCTTCTTCCTAAAATCACCTGCACTGACATCCCTCTCTGCACTGCATCCCCTCAGTGTCAATCAGCACGTGACTTACAAGTGCCCTAGCACCGAGCTGGTACCCAGGGAGATACAGAAATGAATTAGAAGTAGAGACAGTTGGAGGCATCAAAGAATCTAGACTGAGTGTGTGGTCCCAGATTCAAGTCCTAGCCCTGCCACTGTTGTGCTTTGGGAACCTGAGAGAAGCCCCTTCCTCACTCTGGACGTCAGTGTCTCACCTGTACTGTGATAAGGTTGAATTAAATGATCTGAGTTTCCTTCCAGCTGTGAAATTCTGCAGTTCTCAGTCAAGATAATACACGTTTGCGATCATTTTTGTACTCTTCCCTAGAAGTTTTTTTGTTTTTTGTTTTTTGTTTTTTTTGCGGTACGCGGGCCTCTCACTGTTGTGGCCTCTCCCGTTGCGGAGCACAGGCTCCGGACGTGCAGGCTCAGCGGCCATGGCTCACGGGCCCAGCCGCTCCGCGGCATGTGGGATCTTCCCGGACCGGGGCACGAACCCGTGTCCCCTGCGTCGGCAGGCGGACTCTCAACCACTGCGCCACCAGGGAAGCCCTTCCCTAGAAGTTTATTCTTGTAACCTCACCCTAGGGTCCACCTGCTTCATGAACCTCTTTCCTCACTCCCATGACCACCTAGACTCTGACTAGTCCCTACCCATTTCCCTTGATCAGGCCCCATCAGTTAACATGCTTGCAAAGCAGAATGAGAAGGCATTTAATAAATACTGGGTTGAAACACCCTTCAAGGGCTTCCTCTTCTGTCTGTAGCGGATTTCTCCTTAACACTCAGCAAGAGGGCGTGGCTAAAAGACAGCCTCTCCTCTTTAGTCCTTTATACACCCTACTTTATAGAGTTGCCTGTCAAAGCACCGACAACACCCTGTTGCACGTATTCGTGAACCAGACCACCTCCTCCCACCAGGTCACAGGCTCCCTGAGGCAGGAACCATCTCTCTTTTGCATCTGCATTACCCAGCATTTGCATAATAGGAAGCAACAAATATAAGTGGAGTGGATAAACATGGGCATATGGCAGAAGCTCTTCACTGTGGGTTGGAGGACCCTTAAGGGTTTCAAGGGATCTGTGAACCCACTGAAATTGTGTGCAAAGGACTGTGTGTACGTGTAGGTTTATCTATGTGGTGCACATTTTCCCATGGAGAGGGTCCGTGGAGCCCTGAGAAATTAAAAGAAAAGCCAAGGCTGAAAAGATGTTAAGACCCAAAGCCATGAAGTAGGGAGGTTACATTTATTAAGCCCCTACCCTGTGCTGTGCCTGGTGGTGTAGGTGTTACTATTCCTACTTTGCACGAATGGAAACTGACGTTCTGAGAGGTGACGTCTTGGTTCATGAAGAGAGAAGTAGCCCGTCCAGGGTGGTTCAGAGCAGACTCTGGAGCCACAGAGCCTAGGTTCAAATCCCAATACTATCACTTTCTAGTTGTGTGATCTTGGTCAAGTTACTTAATTGCTCTGTGACTCAGTTTCCCCATCTGTAAAATGGGAGAAATAAGGGTACCTACCCCAGAGGGCTGTTGTGAGGAGTTGATGTATTAATGTATGTAAAGTGATCAGAATGGTGCCTGGCATGGGGTGTGTACCCTGAAGATGGTGATGAGGAGGGTAAAGAGCAAGATGCTGGGACTGGCAGAGCTGAGCTGCAAACCCAGGCCTGTGTGACTCTTGCCTTCAGTGCTATTACTGCCAGCACCCAGCATGCCACAACGCCCCATCTCACTGCTGAAACTCTCCTGTGCCCTCCTAGGAAAAGCCTTCAGACCTGGAAGTGGCTTTTCTAGCTTGGCTTCCTGGAGGTGGACAGGCCTGTGGCACCAGTTCGGCAGGCAGTCCCTGGCCATTACAGAAGGAGTATGTGGGAGGTTATAAGCGACCTTTCCCGGCCAGCAAGACTGAGCCTGTACAATCACGACACTCTGCTTCTGCTCTGCTCTTCATTTTCCAAGAGCTTTACCAACATCCACGAATAGAAATTAGAAAGGGGATGCGCTCATCCATTCCTGGAGCCCCACGCTGACGTCCAGAATCCCTTTATAATTTCCCTGAGTCCATCGCTGTGCCCTGAGCTCCAAAGGGCCACTCACAACCATCCTGCTCAGGCTTTATAAATCCCGTGTCCCACCCCACACCTGACTTTCACTCTGCTTCAAGCAGACAGAGCAGCAGCAGTAAAGCCTTCAACCTGATCTCACTTCTACACCTGGGCCCCCCCAGTAACCCTATCCCAGGTGAAGTGTCAGCCAAGGCCTTGTTCCAGCCCAGTCTTCTGCCCTGCTCCTGGGAAACAGCCTTTTGGGGTTTGCTTTGGGTGAGTATCTTTGTATTTTTCCTGCGAAACCATCACTATTGCACTTATTCTCTAGAGCATTTTTCATTTATTCCTGTAATGCAATTAGAATCGAGTTTCTTTAGCATTAGGGGAAAATTGTCATTTCATTCCCCACATCGATATGCCCACTCTGCCCGAATTCTCTCTCTGGTGCTAGCTTGCTCTACCCTCCCGAATGGCAAGGAGAATACTAAAAAGGAGATTCACTCTCCAAATCTGCCTCCAAATGAAGAGGCAGAAGCTCTGGGGCTGGATTCTCCTCTCAGTCATGAAACGGGGGCTCCTAGCTACTCTGACACTCTCCTGCAGTTGAGGGAACCCCTAATGCCCAGTGGAAAGCTCCATACTGGCACCCTCTACTGTTCAGAGGTGAGTGGGAAAGAG